TTCTGTATTTGAATTTGATTTGAGATCAAATATTTGATCAAATCAAATCAAATCAAATCGAATTGCGGAACTCTACCCGTAGGTACCCGTGAGTAAGCTCTTCATGGGCTGGACAGGGTATTAATTTTAGACCCTAGAGTAAAAGTAAGGGCTTGGAATGCTAAGCCCTTACAACAATGGGTCAGGCTAGGGTAATGTATGTATAGCTCTCGGGTGTTAGATACATACCCGTTAATTGACATGTCCAATAGAATTGTGTGAATCTATATATATATAAGATAAAATCAATGTCCTTTTTTTTTTTCTTTGCTGATTTTAAAACAGCTTATCTACGCGTACTTAACAATAATTACTAAGACACTATAAACTTACTGTGCCTTTTTTTCCAAATGCTCTTTTATTAGAGCTCTCTTGTATAAAGTTCAAAAAATAAATAAATAAAAAAAATAATAATAAAAAATAATAAAATAAATCAAATAAAAAAAATACACAAAAAAAAAAAAAAAAATACAAAAAAAGATAACGCATTAAATAAATTACTTGCACCTACACCAAATAATCCAAGCACTAAACTGCTTATATATTAAATTTACCAACTAAGTCTATTAAAGCTATGGTAAGTTAAAATTAATCATTTTGTTATAAATTTCTATTTAACGAGAATATTTGAAAACTAATTATACTTTATAATTAATAAAATCTATAAAATAAGTCTGCTGAGATGGATGATTCTACGGAATATGGTTGTGGTGATCTTTATGAGGCTGATATACCAAATTTTAATAATTCTGCCTCAACGTCTCCTGTACTAATTAATAATGAAGCTAACAAAACAAACAGCAAAAGCATAAGCAAAACCTCTAATAGAGCTACTAGTGAAACTGCTGATAAAGTTGTCAGTAAAACCACCACCACATCATCATCAAAGCTTATGTTTGCCATTTGGGAATATTTTTCTTTATTAGTAGATAATCAAAAGGCTAAATGTGAGCATTGCAATAGGTTATTTAGTCACAAAAAAGGATGTGGTATATCACATCTTAGGTGCCATCTCACTACTTGTTTGAAATTTCAAAACTTATCAAATGGTCAAATGCAATTAAAATTTAATCCTCCAAAAAGACTATATACAAATAAATTAGCATTAAAAGACTTGACTAACATGATAGTCTGAGATGAATTAAGTTTTCAGTTTGTGAAAAGCAAGGCTTCCATAAACTTATAAATGGATTGTTACCTGATTTCAGTATATGCACTGATACAATTAAGCGAGATATCATGAAAGCTTATGATAAAAGAAAGACTTTGGTTAAAGAAATTCTTCAAAATGCTGAAGGCAAAATCTCTCTTACCTGCGGTGCTTGGACGTCACTTCAGCAACTTGGATACCTGTCAGTTACTGCGTACTTTTTTAATAAGGATTAGAATCTTATATCTATTTTATTATCATTTCCATTAATTCCTTATCCTCATACTGGAGTTAATATCGCCAACTGCATTAAGGCTGAGACGGATGAATGGTTTATTACTACTAAGGTAATTAGCAATTTATAAGTATTAAGCTATAATTAATTTAGCATTAATAGAAATAACAAAATGGTTTTATTATTATAGTTACAAACTATTATACTTGATAATGCTGCTTCAAATGATGTTGCAATTCATGAACTAGCTAGTTGTATTTCACAAGACTCATTTATAAATATTGATGAAGGTCTTTTTCATAATAGTTGCTTTGCCCATATTCTGAATCTTATAGTAAAGGATGGGTTGAAAAAAATTTTAGATTTTATCAGAAAGGTAGTTAAATTAAATAGTAGCTGAAATGAATTATTTGATTTATACTAATAATTAATATTGTTAAAATTTATTAGGTTCGTAACTGTGTTAGAGCAATACTTACATCACCAAGATGGCGCCAAATATTTGTGAATCAGAATTCAGGAGATCTACAATTCCTCCATTGGACTGTGATACTCAGTGAAATTTCACGTTCTTGATATTACAATCAGTTATAAAAGTTGCAAATATAATTACTAAAATGAAAGATAGGGATAGGACATTTCCTGATATACCAGATGAAAAGAATAGAAAAATGCTGAAGCTATTTGTCATATTTTAGAGCTATTTTATGATTGTGTGTATTATAAAAATTGCACTTGTAATATAAAATTATTAAATTAAATATATATATATATTTTTTTTAAAAAAAAATAAAAATAGATACTTTAAAAGCATCAGCAAGTTCGCATCCGACTCTCAACAGTACTTTCGCCTCAATTTGGAATATTCATACCCATCTTTTGGATATGAAATCTCAATCAGATAGCTTTGTCTGCGATATTAGTCAATCTATGATTGAAAAATTTAATAAATACTAGGAACATAGCAGCCTCTTGCATATGATCGCATGTATTCTTGATTCCCATTACATAATTCAATTTATTTTATATTACTACTGTGAAAAAGACAATTTACAATCATGGGATCTCGATGAAAAGATACAAGACATTCAAGAAAAGTATGTGCAATTATTAAGATTTATTTGATTTTGTATTTTTTTTTTTTTAATTTAATATTAATAAAAAAATTAGATTTGAAGCTATATATCTTCGTGAATATTATTTATCACCATCTATCGATCAAGAAATGATTATTGATACTGAAAATGATACATCGATATTTGAAAATCATGTGGATGACTTCTTTGAATATGTGGCAATACAAACTCGAATTAATGAAAATGATCCGCTTTGTGAAGTAAAATGATATTTGAATGAACCAATAGCTATAAAAACTACCAATATACTTGAATGGTGAAAACATAATAAGAATTAGCTTTCTAATTTGTTAGCAATGGCTCAAGACTTCCTCGCCATACCCGCAACAAGCATTACATCTGAACAGATATTTAGTTGTGCAGGTCGTATTATTGATGATAGTCATGCATCATTGGATACAAATATGATAGCTGCATTAATATGTCAACGAAATTGGTTAGATGCAGCCAAAAAGTATGGTTGGAAGCTATAAATTTTTGGAGGTTATTTTTTTTTTTTTTTTAATCTTATAGATTTTTTATTTTTATTTTTTTTTTTATTACTTTTTTGTTAGGCTATGCAAAATCATTTTAGTTTAGCTTGATCAATTTTTGTAAATAAAAAAATATATATATCAAGAATTTTATTGCATAATTTTAAATATTTTCTGGTTTTGAATATTAATGCAATCTTGGTAAACATGGCTAGAGAAATAAGGATTTAAATGTTAGATTCAAATTCAAGTCAAATTTAAATTTAAATATTTTTTTCAAATTCAGATCTGATCTTGCAAAATGCTTTTTTCAAATTCGGGTCTAGTCTTTGTTAATAAAAAAAAATAATAAATAAATAAAGCTAATTCTGCCTTTTAAATATAATACTGTAAATTGCCATGTACAAGATCCAGGTCTTTTACATTCTACCAATTTTTAAACTATATAGTAGATCTGGGTTTAGTGCATGCTGAGAGTTAAACTTTGTATTTATAATATGCAGTCACGATAACCATTCTTTTAAGTATCAGATATTGGGCGTACCATGAAAAATACCAAGGAATTTTTTTTTATCAGAATTAA